GGCATTTCAGGCTCCACTTTTGCAGCCAGAATAGATTAATTATTCTGTCCAGTTCATACCAAGAGAGAGGCAGACAACTGTCAAAGGTAAAGGAGGCAAGGTTTCCAACAAGGGGCCTATCTTTTGTCTGCTGCTTTTAGTGGCTTCCAAAGTGACCTATTAAAGGTATACCCCCAGCCCCCCAAAAAGGGAAAAGAAACTATAGCTTTGTATTCCCAGCTCATGTATCTTTGCTTGCAATCTTGCATTCAATTTCAGTGTAATATGAAGAGGCCTATTCTTTTACAAAAAGTTCCCTCTTCCCACCGGGCTTGTTTGTTATTTTATGTGTTTCTGCATCATTTGTAGACTTCTCTTTGATCTGCATTCCTCCTGGATGTGGGGTTTCCTTTTCAGCTACCAAAAGGAAAGCGGGTTTGTTTGAAAATCTGTTTATTTGGATTTTTTGCTAGCCTAAAGTTCCTATCTTTGTCAGGATGCTCAGAGCATTTGCATCGGCCAGTCTCAGACAGCACTAGCTTTTCCCCAAGGAAAAGGCAAAGTTAGAAAGAATGCAACTTACCCATTTGTATTTGGAATACTCTGGGAAAGGAGTTTCAGGGGGTTCCATTTAAAGCCCAAGATTCTTCACCAGACACAGTGCAGCAGCAATAGTTCTTTCATACTTACGCTGAAAAGAATAATCTCTTCCTTTCTCACCAGATCTTCCCTCAGCAAACATATGTTTACTTGTGTGTATAACTGAGTGCATCTACACCTGTCACCAAGAACGTGCACCCTCCCCAGAGAGAAGAAAGGGGACAGGGTGATATCCCTGTCCCCACTAGGCCAGCATATGTAACAGAGGAATAAAAGAAATTATATAAAGGTGACAATAATAGCCCATTTCCATTTCAAGAATGTTTTCCATTGGAAAGTCAACTCTTGATTCAGAGTTGCAACTAGCATCCAGTTCTGACCAATGGGCAATGGCTATGTGAAAGACATTGAACACACCAGGAATCCTTGGGAGAATGGAACCATGGTTACAATACAAAGGATGCTTCCTTGGCAAAGAATCAGGTGGTACACGTGGGGCATCATCCACTGGACGCATCTAGAAGCATGTGGCTAGAAGCAGATAGTGGTCTTTGATGTGTTTCTGTGGGTGCAGTGGATGAGTTGTTGAATACAGTCCTGGATTGTTTAAACCAACTCCGGGGCTTACTGGGCATCTATAAGTAGTGCTGGCTCTGGACCAACACCTCTTCCTAGGAACAGTTCTTAGGAAAACCAAAGCTGGCTATAGACAAAACATAAGGAGGAAATAAAAGGCTCTCTGAATAGGGAAGACAGGAGACATTCTCCCACATCCTCCATATGCCTCTGTGACAGAGAAACAGGAAGTGTCCCCCAAGGACCTCACCAGACAGTCAACCTCATGGGGCAGTCATGGCCGGGACCCTCTCTTTGGAGACTAAGACAGAAGGATTCAATCTGGGAATCCAAACAAACTTAAGAAAACAATAGGCAGGACCAGGAAGGAATGGGAATTATTTGTCTGTTTTTAATAGAATCCTGCCTTGAAATTGCAGCTTTGTGCTAGGGGAAAAAAAAATCACAGTTTTCTTTAAAGTTACACATGAACAGTTTCTGGCTTCAAAAGACAGAGATCAAAATAAACTCCAGCTGTTGCCTAAGAACCGCCCTTCTGTAGGACAGGAGAACCCAATGTAGGTACTGCAGGACTGGTGAGTTCCCAGCATAGGGCTGGAGAGGTAAGAGCAATGTGCACTTGAGGCTTCTCAGTACCAGAGGACTTGCAAATTCCAATTGGAGCTAAGATTCACTTGCTTATACCCAACACTGAGCTGCTTTGATTTCTCCACATGGCCATCCATAGACATAGCCTCCAGTCACCAAAAAGCAACAAGCTATCCTTATCTCTCTCCCCTTTGGTAACCGAGCCTCAAAAACCCAACTGCAGAACCTAAAAAGGACAGTGACAAAAGTGGCTTTGTTTGAACAGATCATTCAGATGGCAGGTTGCTCCTTGAAAAGATACCTGTACATGTTTCAAGTTCTATTTTGGGGGCCTAGAAAGAAGATGAGGTGGGTCCCTAACTAAATCCAACAGAATTTCATCTCAGAAGATGGAGGTGGGTCCCTAACTAAATCCAACAGAATTTCATCTCAGAAGATGGAGAAGAAACAAAGGGATTCCTTGCTTGAAATGTCTGAAGACTCGAACTTCAAAGGAAGATCAACAGTGAGACAACAAGGTTGTCAAGAACATCAGTAGGAAGGGAATGTCTTTCTTCCAAAATGTCCCCCAGATACAAAACAACAGCAAAAAGGAAAAGATGAAGAAAGAAAAAGCATCACTGTAACATAGACTTTACATTTGCAAAGTCTTAATGATACATCTGACCCTTCATACATGGCTTACCCCTTGGTATCTCATGTACTCAGGTAAGATGTAAGAAGCAGTGGACCTTCTGGAAAGGACATGGACATTATATATTCTATTTCCCACCAAGTTGTCCCTAAAACAATGCTTGAGTCCTCCCAAAGAGAAGCTACATCTTAGAATAGGACATCAACTAACATCACCTAGAGAATTTATTAAAGTTTAAGACCATCCCCCGAAAGAGAAACAGCGGTCCATATTCAAGAATCCACAGCTGAGGGAGCTAGTAGGAAAGGGGAGACTAGGCTAGGAGCTTTCAGAGTGTGGACCTCTAAGCAGCAGCAGCGGTGGCGGTGGCGGTGGCGGTGGCCCCATGAAAGGCCTTTTGCCAAGCATATTCCTGGGCCCTACCTAAGATTTGCTGAGTCAGACTCTTTGAGGGTCACCAATCCATGTACAAAATTCTCAAGGTGATTCCTGCGTAGCTCTGATGCTCTGCGAAAAGCTAAAAGGATTTTATGGAACTATCTAGCAGCTCCCTGAGAGGCCAGCACTGGAAGGACTTTGTAAATTATAGGAAGACCACTTGAAAGAGGGCTGGTTAAAGAGACTGGGTGTCTTGGTCCTCAGAGTGAAATGAGAGGTTAGTAACTGCCTCCTGGGCCTTAGTCTGGAGACATAAAGCCCACAAGGATGCATGACCTTTGATCTCTGGAAAAACAATGGACTCTTCCTGCCACCCTTTTCATTTTTCCTGTGGCAGTGAAAAGAATGGGCTCAAGGGCCTAAAGCAGGACCCAAGTAAGCAGAGGCTCTTCACCGGCCTCCTTGCTGGAGACAATCTCTTGACTTTACCTCAGCTGCCCCCTCATTAGGATCTGCCTCACAACATACACACCAGGGTCCTCTTTCTCCTCAATCAGCTCACTTCTGTTTCCTAGGTGCACTCAGTCAAGCCCAGAAATTAATTCTCATTGCCAAATCTAACACCACCCCCATCCTTTCCCCTGTGGAAGCAAGTCTCTGTTACTCCTGCTCTAGATGCTTCCATTTCAATTCAAAATTAACCCAGTAAATCTTTTCATTGGACGATTATTGTATATATAAAACCTACTGCCCAAGCTTCTGGTTGAACTCTCTATCATCTATCTATCTATCTATCTATCTATCTATCTATCTATCTATCTATCTATCTATCAATCGTCTGTCTACCTGTCTATCTATCTATCTACCTGTCTATGTATCTTTCTATCCATGCCATATATGCGGCAGACTCTTTTCTCCATCAAGAGTCTCAGAGCTCAAATGCACCAATCATTATGAGGTTTATAAGAACTTTTGGCTTATTTTCTTGGCTATTTTTCTGTATTTTCTTAGTTTCTTCGTTTGTGCTCTCGGAAGTCAAAGGAGAACATTAGGTGTTCTAGTTTATCTTTCTGCACTTTATTACTTTGAGGCAGGGTCTCTTAATGGAACCCAGAGGTAGGCTGGCAGATGCCAAGCCCCAGTGATTCTCATGTGTCCAGGTCCTACAGCAGTGTGGTTGCAGGCACATCTGGCTACACCCAGCTGTCTGACACAGGTGTTGGGATCTTACCACATGTCATCAAGCTTTAGAGGTAAACACTCATACAGTGACCTAGCTTTCTAGACCCTATTAACTTCTGTTTATTCTAAGTAAACTTCACTCATTTCCCTTAACTGAGATTAATTTAGGTCTCTATAGTATACTACTAACAACCACCATTAAGCTGATAAGGGGCATCTCAAACATGTAGAGAGCTTATGTGCCAAGAATCAAGCTAAGTTCTTTATTCACATTACTTGATTTTGCTATCCACAATAAAAGGATGAGACTATCATTGTATCCATTGTGCATATGGGAAAACAAAGGATAGAGAAATTATGGAGCTAATCAATGGTAGATCTGGAGTTTCCACTCAGGTCCAGTAAAATATTATTCTTGTGGAACAATTGTAAAATGCTTTTGCACATGGAACATGTCCTTCTAAAGTGTCTCTCATTTGTTCTCATACACCTAATATTCACTCCCATCCGAATGCAAGAATGAGAGTGGCATTTTCTCAGTCCCTATCTTGGTACAATTCCACATCCCAGTGTGTTTATGAGTCCTAAAGCTCCTAGGTGAGACACATTTTGGAGGGTCCCTTGTGTAAGAGAAGGTGCTGGTAAGGTCATCCTTCTTCTCACTTGTTTTGTGCAGCCAAGTGCCAGGAGTTTCCACTGTGGCTACACGTTGAAAGATGTTAAACATCCTCAGTGCTCAGGCTACAACCTGGACCAATTAAATCAGGATCTCTTGGGTGGGGCTGAGGCATCAGCAATTTTTAGAGTTCCCCAGGTGATTTTATTGTGTAGCTAAGGTTGTCTGTGATGACTACAGGTTTAATGGTCCTGGTACAATTCTGATACATTTTTTTTTTTACATACCCTATGATTACAAAGCTCTCTGGATGGTCTTCACATTTGGTTTTCTCCATATGCCTCCTGTGTCATCTAACATAAAGTAGAAGTTTAAAAAATATTACCCACCAAATGACAAAAGATTTTTCATGGGGTTCATATAGTAATCTTCCTTATAAGGAACTCACCTTTAATTAGTCACTGGAGACCATTTATTCTCTGAATACTGCTTGGGTCCTGAAACAAGCCAAAAGGAATGTATTTTGTGTATGAAATTTCCTATGGTGTTTTGTTTTTCTGAAACTGTAGGAACTAGGGAACTCTTATAGGGAACGTCTTCCAAGTCTTCAAGGATGTGGCAGGAGAGTTTAAGAATGTGTTGCTAATGACACATACCAGTGATTCTGGAGTATAAAGGATATATTTGATGCTCACAGTATCCTATATCCACATTTTCAAAAATTAAAGAATTCAGGATTAAATGAAATGAATAGTTTTCAGGTTGACACAGGGGCTGAGCTGGGACAGGGGACTGTCCCTGCAGCTGCCCGATGAAGGACAGAACAACGAAATTGCTAGAGCTCTGTTAGTGGTATGTGTGCTGAGGATTGATCTCAGAACATTTCAATCTTTTCAGGGGCAAGGGGGAAGCTGTTCTCAAAGTCATATTATCTGGCCACAAGAGTGGTGTTTGAGCGGGGAGAGGTGGACTCAAATCCACCAGCAAGCAAGAGTCCATGAAGACCTCAACAGATAGAGCTAGAGGAGGTCTAGCAAAAGAAATCCAGCTTCTCTAGCTTTCCTCAAACCTGTGACTTCAGCATTCTCTTGGGTGGCTCTTGTTCATGGTAGATCCTTCCTGAGGTCCCCAAAGTGAAATGTGTCCAGTAGTCAGAGGCCAATAGAGCTCAGAAATAGCACTAATAATGTTGCTAGGATGAATGCTAAATGGTATAGCCATTGGGAAAACAGCTTGTCATTTTCTTACATAGGGATCAAATAATCCCACTTCTTGATACTCATCTATGAGAAATAAAAATGTATTTTGTTTAAGCAAAAGTCTATGTATAAGTGTTGCTAGCAGCTGTATTCATTAAAAATAAAGGATTAAATGCAAAGATCTCTCAATTGGGGATAGACAAACTGTGGTATTAGCATATCATTCAGAAATTTAAAAGGATAGAACTTACTAACAAATGCAAAAAAAAATATGTGAATCATAAGTACATTCTGCTGAGTCAAAGAGTCTGACTCAAAAGGCCGCCAATTTTGTGGTTCTGTTCATAGGACATTCTAGAAAAGGTAGAGCTATAGAATCTAGAGGGTAGGACTGTTACCTAGGAGCAACATGAGGTAATTGGGCATGATGGGAATGTCCTGTGTCTAGACTGCATTTGTCAAAACTCACAGAACACTACACCAAGAAGAATTTCAGATGGGTCTGGTGGCAAAGGACTATTCTAGCAACTTGTGAGGCTGAAGCAGAAGGTCCTGCCTGGACTACAAAGTGAATTCAAAGCTAGCCTGGGCAGTTTAGTGAGACCTTGTCATAAGAATTAAAAAAAAATAAAAAAGGACTAGAGAACAGGATCAAGGGTTATGCGATCAGGTAATGCCATTCCACAGTACTCAAGTTCCATTCCCAGTACCCATGTCGGGTGGCTACAACCAACTGTAACTCCAGCTCACAGACATCTGTCTGGACTCCGGGGACAACTGCCCTCATGAATGTACACACACACAAACACACACATTTTAAAGATAACAATTTTTTAAAAGGCTTGGAATGTAGCTCAATGGTAAAACACTTGCTTATAGCACATGTGAGGCTTTAGGTTCATTCAACCATGCAGTACAGGAAAAATAACTACGATGGAAAGATTTATAGGCTTTCTTGTTTGATTGTTTAGCTGGTTATTTTTTTTGAGACAAAGTCTCACTATGTATCCCCAACTGGAGTTCTTGAAGGAACACCAAAATAGCCTCTAACTCATCTTGAGCTACATGTATGTGCCTCCCATGTGTTGCTTAAAAGCCTGAACCACCGAACCCAGCTCAATGAGGAAAAATATTAACATGTAAAATTGGAAAATAAACCAGCAACAGGTTGGAAATTAGAAAAGATATAAAAAAGAGTTTTAAAGCTTGTAGCCCTTACAGTGTTTTCACTCTAATCCCAGACCCCAGTTTGGTTTTGATGGTAATTAGGAGGACAAAGTAGATTCCTTTTGCATGCCTCTGAAGTGAACAGAAACTCACCTTCTCCCCTTTTCCCTGGAGATCAAGATAGCACACAAGCAGGGTTTCTCACTCTAATTGTCTCAGCTCCATGAAGATTATATGGTCCTGGAGCACCTTTATGAATTCATTCTTTTGATATGAAATCTCTTTCTGTTCCCTGTTCAAACTGAAAAAAAAAAAAAAAAAGAAAGGCAAATTACCTTGTGTGTGATCTGATTAAAGTACTATTTAGGACCTCTGTTTTCTGCCAGTGGACATCCAGGGTCTGCACTAGTGCTAATAGGATTGAGAACACCACTTTTACAAGCATTATCTCAGTATCACTGAGGAACTTGTGAGAAATGCAGAATCTAACCTTGGGCCTGCCCTCCTCCCACAGAATAAGAATCTGCATTTTAATAAAGTGTCCACAGGGCTTACCTGCAGATTAGAGTCTAAGAATTCTTGCTCTAGATTTAATTGTCCACTCTAATTGCATAATAATCTACAGCCTTCATAGCTACTATGAAAAAAATAAGACCCTTGACTCTCACTCAACCTACCATGACATTTACCCCACTGACTATTAGCTATGTAACTCTATGGAAGCAAGTAGGTATACAATGGTATGTCCTTTCTGAACCTCAGCTTCCTGTCTGTAACATGGGTATAGTTATAGTGTTGCTGTGGGGTTAAATTAAACAAGAAAACAACACTATTATAATTCACAACTGACCCAGGGTTATATGCCTGAGTTGTCTCACTTTATTCCTCAATGAACCCAGACTGCTGAAAACTGGTTGGGAGAACACTGAAGCCAAATCCCCAGTCAGGTGAGCCATTTGAATGAGTTAAATGGTCTGGGATGCACATGGCCAGAGGGAGAGGCAGATGGCCTTGGTAATTGTCCACTTCGGGATTTAGTAGATTGGCAACTTTCAGAGATTGGTCTTTAGAGTAAGACCTTGTTAGCAATGTAAATTCTAGGATGCTACCTCAGACTAACTAAAAATTCTGTACTTAAGCTTCATAATCACAAGCCTTCCCAATGACACTTCTACATGCTAGTAGGGCATTATCAATAATGGCAAACTGCTGAATTGTCTGCTTTTATTTAAGGTCTTATAAAGAAGCAATACTTAGAAAGATTTACTGAATTCCTAAGCCAGTCCTTCTGCTTCTAGGTTACTGGTTTTAAGTGTCAGTATTAAAACACATTGGTGTGTAAAAACATGTCTACTTTTGTTATGATGTATATTGCCAGCCATCTACAACAGATTCATTCAACAGCTGGTAATCATGTTTCTGTTATATGTCAGGCACTGGTCCAGACTCCACTAACAGAATAAAACTCACTTAAGTGATACAATCATCACTTGTAATTGGTTTGTTAATCAAAAACACTGGCTAAAAATGGAATCATGAAAGATGATACACAAATGCTTCACTTCAACAGAAAACATGCAAATTGATATTTGTCTGCCCATTTTTAAGCTAAGATAATTTTTTTATTTACATTGGTAGGATTGCATGTAATCACATAGATAACACATCATTTTTTTAGTATTCATTCCTTAAATTGCAATGAAAGTTAGACATAGAAAACAATCAGAATGCAAACTCTGATCTCTATTTTTAAGACATTTTCAAGTCGGTTAAAGTTGTCTTGGTCACGTTTATTCAACAAGAATCTACTTTTAGCTACTCATATTTGTTTTCCTCAAGTTATATTTGATTTAGTATGCATGGAAGCAACAGCTCTCTTTTGGCACACTTATTCCATCGGTTTATGTAACATTGCCTGGAATGATGTAATTACAAAAACAAGTACAGGTTGGGAACCCACCCAACTGATGATTGGAAAGTTTACCATCCTACCCCTCTTTATAACTGAATTGCACAAGAACATGAGAACTCAGTCTATTGACTGTAAGAGTTCTCCATGCTGTGGGAGAACACACAGCATGTATTACAGGAAGGACAGAGAGCTTCAGTCAATCACCTGGTTAGTTTAAAACTTTGGTTACAAAAAGTTTAAGTCAAGATTTGTTGCAGAGAGGCCTGAAAATAACTTAGAGACACTGAGCAGAGCAAGTCTATAGTAATGAGATTTTTAACTCTTATTCCAGTTTGCTGAGTCAAGTAGAGGCTGCTTAGTTCAGTTTGGTTACCCTAAGCTGCATGTAGCTCTCAGAGGCTTATTAGTGACAATGATCTTTCTTTGGAAGGTTAAGAGCTAACACTTTGCAGCTCTGCTTGGTTTTGTTTGTTTCTTTTTTTTTTTTCAAATTTCACCCACAGAGGAAGGATCTGTTGCCACAGTAATGCTACCCAACAAACCAGCTCTAAACTTATCTTAAAAGAACCAGTTGTTAATTCTCACAAGAGTATGGGTTGACTGAAAGGTTCTGCTGACCAAGATCCATTCAGCTGACCTCAGCTGGGCTTGTTCATTTGTCTACAACTATCTTCTGGTTGAGAGAGAGAATGGCTGGTCATGGATGAGCTTTCTGTAGAAAGAGCAGTATAATCAACCTAATTCTGGACATCTGTGCTCAATGTATGTTAGATTAGGGCTTCTTAAACATTAACGTGCATACAAATCACACAAGGATCTTATATAATTGCTGGTTCTGATTTAGAGAGTTCTGGAATAAAGACCTGAGATTTCCAAGATTCTGTGTTTTGTTTTGTTTTTGGTTTTGTTTTATTTTGTTTGTTTGTTTGTTTGTTTGTTTGTTTCAGACAGGGTTGGAAACTCATTAGGTAGCCTGGACTAGCCTTGAACTCTTAATCCCTTTCTTGAGTCCCACAAGGCAGGGATTATAAGTAGATGTCAGGTATATGCTAATAGTGTTGATTCTAAGACTGCATTTAGAGGAGCAAGGGTAGAGTATGATAAAGCTTGCTGCTAGGTACTCTTTGTCTGTGGACCTGATTCCTGAAATTCCCCAGCACGACCTCCCACCACAGCAGAGAATCTCTTGCTCTCTTCTTCTTTTTACAATAGTCCAGAGAAACATCTCTCTGATTACCTTTGATGGCAAGGACTCACTGTATAATGGCTGGTTACAGAAACAAATTTTGTCTTTCTATTGAGTTAAAAGTCAAATTCCATGCACCCTCCATCCACCAATCCCAATATGCCATTTGCAGCTGACAAGTCATCTCCTTACTTGTCAGCCTGTCTAACATAGTAGGGGGGCCTCCTTTCCCCTCTTTCCTAGTTGGACACTCTCCTAAGTCCTTCAGCTGCTCTACTTGAAGGTCTTCACATTAGGACCTTATGATGCCCTTTCCCAGGCATGGCCCAGTAGGTTAGTATTACACTTAGACATGGTATCCAGTATATATCCAAAAGAATTGAAAATGGGGTTAAAAAAAAAGATACTTTTATGCCCCCCCCCAAATAGAATTATTCAAAACAGTCAAATGGTAGACACAACTCAATTGTCCATCTCAAGAGAATGCAGCCAGGCGGTGGTGGCACACGCCTTTAATCCCAGCACTCAGGAGGCAGAGGCAGGTGGATCTCTGTGAGTTCAAGGCCAGCCTGGTCTACAAAGCAAGTTCCAGGAAAGGCGCAAAGCTACACAGAGAAATCTTGTCTTGAAAAACCAAAAAAAAAAAGAGAGAGAATGTATTTTTAAAAAAAGCATAATTCAAACACACAATGGAATCAGCATTAAATTATAGAGAACAGGGGCTAGAGAAATGATTCAGTGAGTAAAGTGCAATTATGAGGACCTGATTTCAGAGCCTCATTACCCAGGTAAGGCCTAGATGTGGTGATACATGCCTGTAACACCAACACTGTGTAGGAAGACAGAGGAATCCCCAGACATGGATAGCCAATCTAGTTAAATCATGAGTTCACCATTCAGTAAGAGATACTCTGTCTCAAAAATAAACTAGAGAGAGATGTATTAAGGCACCCAATATCAACTCCAGCCTCTGAATGTGTACATATGGGGACATGGACTTGCATGTGCGCTCTCTCTCTCTCTCTCTCTCTCTCTCTCTCTCTCTCTCTCTCTCTCTCTCTCACACACACACACACACACACACACATATACTTTCTTTTAAAAAATGGAGATTAATTTTTCTTTGTTTTACAATAATTACCAGAATGGAACCCGTGTCCTTGTGTATGCTAAGCAGACATTCTACTGATGAGCTATACCCCAGTAGAGGAGAATCCTAACACACGCTGCAATGTGCATGGACCTTGGGGACATTTGCTAAGTGAAATCAGAGATAAACGCTGTATGCAGCCACTTTATGTGAAGTACCTAGAGACAGAGAGTTAAATGGTTGTTGCTAGGTGCCCAGGGGAAGAGGAAAGACAAAGGGAGTTATTTAATGGGTTGACTTTCAGTTTTGCAACATGGAAAGCTTTTAGAGATTATTGCACAACATCAATGCTCTAAACACCATCGAACTTAAAAATAGTTCAGTATGGTAAACTTGGTTATGAGTACTTTACTACAGTTTAAAAACAAAATCTAGCTCCCAGACCAGAGACAAGTCTTCCAGAAATATTAAAAGGCTAGTAAAAAATATGCAGGGACTATGGGTGCTGCTTGCTTAACTGCCAACCCCCTATATTTTTAGTAATGTAGCTCAGACCATGGGCAAATTGCACTATTAAAGCATGTTTCATGTGTGGTCTAGTAAAAAAAGAAGCCCCTAAGTTCCTCTTCAGAGAAATAGTTGATTTCTCTAGTTTCTAATTGGCTTTAAGAAAAATATTGTTACTTTAGTGCATAAAATAATAATCTTTTGGAAAGTTTATTTGTTATTTGTTTTATCCTTCTTTGTTGTCATTTAAATTTTTTCTATGCTTTAACTTTATTGACAAAGGAAATAGGAATTCTGCCACTGTCCTGAAATAATTTCTGAATGATGCTTATAAAAAAAAAATCTATGTATCAGCAAAGCTGTATTATGGCTAGCACTGAAGATCTAGACATTTATAATGGGTCAGTATTTCTATGCTCGCTAATATTTGTTTAACCATCCTTAAGCATTCTTGCAATAAAACAACCATAAAAATGATTTACCTTCCAAATGAAAAAATTAAACATAAATGTTACAATCATCCAATTTTGATATTCTTAATAACTTCTAAATCAGAGCATATATCAGTTAAAGAGACCATTGGCTTGAGAACAGAAGTGTCAAACACAGACACAGAGTTGTAATTTATTGAGAAACATTAACCCAAACATGAAACACTGTGACCATTGGCAGGTGTAATCATTTTTCTTTGACACTCAAATTTACATGTTTTGGAAATTTTCCCAGATAACTCAATATATTCAAGTCTCTTGTTCTCAAGTTCCAACAACTTCCCTCTCTCCCTAACTCTCTTAGATGTCGAGGTAGATTTCATTCTGTACTTCTTTGGGAAAACTGCCTGCAATCGAGGTGAAAACACACTCCCAGCATTCACTGGGCTATGGCAGTGTTCAAATGCTACCTGCTTCTGGAAGTGTAATTTTCTTTGGTTCCTTTTAGGAGGTGCAAGGTTTGTAAGAGCATTTAAATTGGTCAGTCACACCTATGGCTCAGTGTGTGAGCAAAGGACCCCAGAATTTCTATGAACCAAGTCATCGAGTCACTCAGGTGTCATCCACAGTCCAGGCATCTCCTAACATCAGTACCACCGAGAAGGACCAGTGAACATTTCTAGATGTTTTGTGAACATACAACTTGACAGCAAGAGGATATTTTCCCCTCAAAGACTCAATTCTAAGAAATAAAAAGTATACTTTATAAGCAGGACCATTTCTCCCCATAGCTCCAAAAGTGATAAACTATCACTAAGAACATTGAGTCAAACTATCACTAAGAACATTGAGTCCTAAGGAATGAAGTAGAGACATCAGTCCCATGCTGCCTAAGTTTTGCGTCTTAGATTTAGAGCGATTTTTTGTGATTGGTTTGTTAAAGAAAATGTGGAAACATAACTCTGTTCACCTTGACAGTGAGGGTGAGGTGCAACTAGACCAGGGCAGGCAAAATTATGATATCTACCTAAAGCCAGACAAAAACAAAGTTTCAAATAGCCTCGTACTAAATTAGTCTTGATAATGCAACAGACTTACAGTTTTGGTTTTCAAAAGAAAATTAATTCAGCTTTTTTGTGTATGTGAAATGAAGCTTTGGAAAAATATGTCTGTGCTTAATTTATGCTTGAGGGGGTAAGCTCATGGCTTATTTATGATTGCTGTGGGAACTATTTTACTTTTTAACCTGACTTTTAATATTTCATGTGTGGTCCACCCTTAAGTGGTAGGGGGTTTTCTATGCACAATTCCTTGTAGTGAGGAAGAATGAGAATAATCCAGGAAGACAACCTTATATGGAGACGTTGTACTTACCTGGAGAACTGACTGGGCAGAATTTCTAGGAGCCTTGACCAGGAGTCTGAAGCAGTAACCCATTATAGGACAAGAGGATCTTCCAGGACATATAAGTCTTCTTTGTCTCTATTGAAAAGAGACAGAGAGATATTATATCCATAGAATAGGACTTGAAAAGATGCATTAACTTTTCTGCAAACAGGGAGAGAGAGAACCTTGAGAGATATAGCTCAGCTGTTAAGATCACTTGTTGCTCTTTCAGAGCGCCTGAGTTCAGTTCCTAGAATCCACAGTGTGGCTGACAGACATCCATAACTCCATTTCCAGGGTATCTGATGCCATTTTATAACCTCTTCAGGCACTAGGCATGCATGTACTACACACACACACACACACACACACACACACACACACACACATACACACAGGTTAACCAGACATATACATAAAACATATTTTAAAAACAAGATAAAAGATTTTAAAGGGCGCATTATATATTCCTCGTCTTTAATTCGGACTATTTACTGCAATGAAGAAAAGAATTAGAAGGACAAGTAATCAGGGAAAAGAGCCATGGGCTTTGGTTACTACCTCCATCTACACCACCTCTAATCCTTGAACATGAATGCTTTGCTCTACCCTGCTGAAGTCCAGGATTTGGGTGGTTTCTGCCATGTTCTTGGAACTTTGGATAATAACAGGTATATCAATAACTATTTCCTCAACATTTTGTAACTGACATTTCAAAGAGAAATTTGGAGGAATTTTACAGTGAACAAGTCTATTCCCTAGATTCATTGGTCCCTTCTCCTGCCCCCACTCTTCTCACTCTTCTGTCTTGCTGAGATAGGATCTCAGGACATAGACCATGCTGGCCTTGAACTCAAAGTCATCCTCCTCCTTCCCATGTGCTAGGCTCTAAGACTTTATTGCTTTCTTTAGGCAGTATAGCTAGTCACCTAGCCATTCTCTACTTTTTATGCATTTAAAGTTACATTGTAGGTCTCATTTCAAATATTTCTAAATGCTTTTGTACTGATATAAGTAATGGGGGGGACTCTCAATCTTTCAATCTCTCTCTCTCTCTCTCTCTCTCTCTCTCTCTCTCTCTCTCTCTCTCTCTCTCTCTTTAACAAATAATGACTGGCACTGGTTTCAGATGTGCTTGTTAGTGAAAGTTGATAATGCGCACACCTGTGTCACCCAACTCCTTATTAAGACACAGATAATAGCCTTATCTCACGCTCAGGAAAGCATCAAACACATCAAATCTCCAACCACCCACCACCCTTCCCATACTTCATTTTTCACCTGAGACTAGTTTTTCCTGTTCTAGAGCTTTGTATAAAGGAACTCATACATGTTGTACTCTTGGTGCTGGGCTTATTTCCCTTCATGTGTTATTCTTTAGATCATCCCTGCTGCTGCATGCAACAGTTACTTCTCAATAAATATTGATTAGCTGATTCTTATCAGTGTTGACTAAGGATTTCAGTTGATTAAACGGTTTAAAATACAATCATTATAACTTGAACGTCTCTTGGTAAGCCCTATGGGAAGTTGGTACTCTTCTTTGATGATTCAATAAAGTTGGGGTACATTTTGTGGAACAGAAATTGAGGCATCATCTTTAAAAAATTACAGAAGCTATCCAAACACATGCAGTGGGTCCTAGGGTAACTGGCTCTGAACCCCTCCTTTCTCTCAGGGGTAAGGGTAATGGCTAAGTGGCATTTTTCATGGGAATGTTTTCTGGACTATTCATTTACAATTGGAAAGCAAAGCTCGAAGGCAGGCTATGGCTTGGCAAGGGGAAATGTCCATATCTGAATTCTGTTTAGTAGTAGTTCCCCATTCTCTAGTATGGGGCGGGTGATCAAGGAAGTAGAGGACAAAGCTTCCACCCAGAGTACATTGCAATAAACGTAACTAGCTTCTTGGGGGACTCCCGGCTCACTGGAAGAGCCCCAAGTGAAATTTTTCGAAAGAATCCCCTGTAAGTCACAACTGTCTTCCTCAAATATGCCTTCCCAGGCTCAGAAATGACTAGGGGCTCTGTGCTATTTGCTGGGAGAGTTTGGTATTTATTAGTGATTTGACATTCCTGTTAAGTTACATGGGTGCTTTTCACTACTCAAAACTACTGTATTTCCTATTAAAGAAGTGAGCTAAACTCACTGGTGCCCAGGTACTGATCTCAATTTTCATGAAGCCGAAATTGTTACTAGCAGGACTATTGTAATCCCAGGTAGCTCTTCAATGTAACTCAGGTGGCTAGCTCAAAAATTCCCAAGTAAATGCCTAACTCTACAGCCTCTTTCCAGGTGGCATGGACTATTGGATACAGCTTTAAACTTGAAGACAGCTTTAGACCTTAGAACCTCAAGGACTGTACACTCTAAGACCACTCCAGCCTTTATGGGCTGTGCAGCTTTTTTTCCACACAGCTTTGCTTTAAAACCACTATTGAGTACCCTAACTTGGTGAATAGAGGTAAAAGCGAGGAGTTGAGCGAGAAGTGGGGACTATTGTTTCTGGAAACTTTAGTGGGTAAAACCTGCATTGGATTAAGATTGGCAACTGGATGCTTTGCGTTAGTGATAATTGGTGGAAAAGGGGCTGGGGATATTGAGGAATGCTCAGGTGTCTGCCGCCTGAGCCAGGTGTTTCTATGACCAGTTGCAAACTCATTCTGATTTTGGCTATGTGCTTCCCAATTATGTATTAAGTTCCCCAGGAATGATCAAGATGGGGCTCATTGCCATTAAGAAATCACCGTTTTCGGGTGATTAAAACGCCAATATTGCTGAACTATCTTTGGTAGCCTTGAACCAATGTACCGATCAGCTTTCTTGACCCCACCAAAAGGTATCTGGTACTGTCTATACTGGGCCTCTTTAAATGTAGCTCGCCACAAATATCTATTTTTATGTTATCATAATTCAGCATGTTGGAAAGTATTTTTCCCTTGACCCATCAATGCCCTTTGTCTAACAGAGCGCGAAACTGATCCAGGAAAAGCCACACTTTTCTTCATGGCGGGCCCAATGCAAGGTATGAAACTCCATTCGTCCCTCAAGTCCTTTAATGGAAATCTGTATTCCTTAAGAGTTCCGTTTAGACCCAGCTGGAAAGAGGCTGGCAGAGGCTTCAGCCAGCCTGTGGGTTCCCTTTGACCTTGATTATGAGCAGGAGTGTCGCCGCTAATTGCAAGGCCTAACTCAAGGTGGAAAATGGCATCGCTTTCCACATCACCCAGGAGAAGGCAAGTTCTGTGGCCCGCGACAGCGGTGAGGTTCTATTCAGGCGGCGCTTCGCCACCCAGAGAGCAACACGGAGGCCGCCTACAGGTGCAATCCCGCCACTGCGCGGGAACGGGAGGCTGGCGCAGCCCTCCGCGACTCTGCAAGCCCTTCCCGAGGCCTGAGCCGAGCCCCCCCCGGGTGCCCGCCGCCCTCTCCCCCTGCTTCCCCACGCCTCTGCCCTGGTGCGGTCTGGAAAGGAAGCTGGGAGCCCTCCGAGGCTTCACGGACTGAGATTTGGGAAGGGATGGCGCGCGGCCGAGGCTTTCCCTCGAATTTGCGGCAAGTCTGGCTCCGGGAAAGTTTTTCAAAGTTCCCAGCAGCGTCTGCCTAGGTCGCCTCTGCGGGGCGAGCAGACGGCGACAAGCGCGCCAGTCTCGCCGCCGCCAGCACAGAACTCTGGGCTCGCTCGCTGGGAGCGGCCCGGGTTCCCGGCGGGCAGGCCCTCCTCCCGGGGCGAAAGCCGCAGCTGACGCAGGCGGCTCGGAAGGCGGAAGCCGCCCGCCCCAACTGCTCCGGCCGCACCGCGGCGCCTACACCTGGGGCTTGCCTGGGAGCTCAGGCCGCGCACCGAGGGGGCGGCCCGGCGGAGGCACTCCGGGCGTCCCAGAGCCACCGGCTCCTCCACGTTCCCCCCGGGTCCTTCCTTCCTCTCGGCCCGAGGTCCCCAGGGCAGTGGTTTGCGTGTGGGGCCCCCCGGACGGCAACACCACCCGGTACATCCCGCAGCCCCCCAACCCCTTCTAAGTTCCTCCCCTCCCCATCAACCGGGAGGAAAGGGGCGTGCCCGCTAGGGGACACGCCCCTTATGAATATTAACAATCGCGCATGCGCCTTGTTCCGCGTGCTGGGTAGAGGTGGCCAGCCTGAGTCGCGGCTCCCAGACGGGCTCTCCGGGTCCCTCTCTCCGAGAGCCAGGCGGGCACGCGTCATTGTGTTACCTGCAGCCGGCCGGCGAGCTAGGCTCAGGTTTTTTTTCTTTTTCCCCTCCCTCCCCCGCGTTCCATGCAGCTGATCTGAAAGGGAATAAAAGGCTGCGCATAATCATAATAATAAAAGAAGGGGAGCGCGAGAGAAGGAAAGAAAGCCGAGAGGTGGAAGAGGAGGGGGAGCGCCTCAAAGAAGCAATCAGAATAATAAAAGGAGGCCAGCCTCTTTGCCTTCTGGAACGCGCTGCTCTTGAAAGGGCTTTTGAAAAGTGGTGTTGTTTTCCAGTCGTGCATGCTCCAATCCACGGAGTATATTAGAGCCGGGACGCGGCGGCCGCGGGGGCAGCGGCGACGGCAGCCTCGGCGGGAGCACCAGCGCTAGCGGCGGCGGCGGCGGCGGCGGCGTCCGGAGTGCCCGCGGCGGGCGGCGCAGCGATGCGGTCCCCACGGACGCGCGGCCGGCCCGGGCGCCCCCTGAGCCTTCTGCTCGCCCTGCTCTGTGCCCTGCGAGCCAAGGTAGGAGTCTCTCTCCCTCTTACTCCCCGCACTCTTCACCCTTCCCTCGTAGCGTCCTGGACGCCGGCGGCTGTGGCTCCTAGAGCAGGCTCCCGAGTCCTTGGGCACCAGGCTCCCTGACCCTGACTTTTCATCCAAGAGGCTGCAGTGGGTCTGGGAACGCCGGCTCCCCAGATAAACTCCAGGCAGAGTAGAGTGCGTTCATTACGCTCTTGGCCCCTCGGGGCAGTTCTCCCATTTTTTCCCCCTCGCACTTAGTTGTTATGCCCCTGAATCAGGTCAAGCTCTGAACCTAGTTTTGCAAAATTATTTTCACTTGCCGCCGAGGAGTCTTCGCGGCTTGGGAGTAGGAGTGGGGGTGGGGGGTCTCAGGGAGTCTCCACCTCCACCTCGAGAGAAAAACTTTCTCATGAATTGACCCTCCTTCCTCGCCGGCAGGTGTGCGGGGCGTCGGGTCAGTTTGAGCTGGAGATCCTGTCCATGCAGAACGTGAACGGAGAACTGCAGAATGGGAACTGCTGCGGCGGCGCCCGGAACCCCGGCGACCGCAAGTGCATCCGCGACGAGTGTGACACGTACTTCAAAGTGTGCCTCAAGGAGTATCAGTCCCGCGTCACAGCCGGCGGACCCTGCAGCTTCGGCTCAGGGTCCACGCCTGTCATTGGAGGCAACACCTTCAATCTCAAGGCCAGCCGTGGCAACGACCGTAATCGCATCGTGCTGCCTTTCAGTTTCGCCTGGCCGGTGAGTGAACGACTCCCGGACGGAGTCGAACGCGGGCGGAGCTCTGTATTCCCTTGAGAAGGATTTAATAGCCCCTGGCTTGAAACTTGGCGCTAAGTGGAGAGGCTTTTGAGGTGGCGAGTCTGAGACCTCATGCTATAGCTAGACCTTGAACAAGATGGGCCCGGCAGGTCTTCCATCCTCGATGGTGTTTGCTTAGAAGCGTACTGAAGTGGGGACACTGAAGAGGATTGGAAGGAAGGGAATGCCCAAGGATGCTAGTTTTATACTTGCTACTTGCAGTAGCCACCCCCAACCAGGAGGTAGTTGTATATGATCTCTTTGCTTAACTAATTAAAACTCAGAGCGCCCTGGAAGGCCACTACGCACAGTCTGCCCTGCGAACGCTGTCCAAGTTGGCACCCTCCCCTTTCCCGTGAGCCGCCCCGAGGGCGGGTGTGTCCTTCCTGCAGGGCGTGGGGGAGCCGGTTTCCCGCGACTTCAGGGGAGATTTTGGTGTGTTGGAGGGCGCTCTCCCTCAGGGGAGATTTTGGTGTGTTGGAGGGCGCTCTCCCAGCCTGGGATGGCGGCTGCAGGGGTGTCTCGGGCTGATGTCCAGGCTTTAGTCTGTGAACCCCCGCCCCCTGCCGGCCCCTTCCTCCCGCCCCAGCTCGGTATAGCCTTGGCTGCCTTGCTCCCAGCGGTTCCCCAGCTCTGGAACAGCTGTGTTGGCAAACTTCTCCGGGAAGGGCGGGAACCCACTCGTCCGGAGGGCACACAGCCTCCACAAACCCTTCCGGGACTGTGGCAAGGCTTAGAAGGGGAGGCCCGCTGGAAGTAGTGTTTTCGGGTGCAAGTCCATGCACCCTCATCTCCCTTCTGGGCCCTCCGGACAGCTTGAGGCCGGCGTACAGCTGGCCGACTCTGTAGCAAAGCCCTTGCAACATCCCAAAATGGGTGGAAGGAAGATGGGTGCGATTGCAGAAGGGGAGGAAAGGGAAATGGTGGGGGTGTGCCCGTTGTCCAGGAGGCGTGACTCGCTGCCAGGACTGGTGCTTGGCCAAGCTGGAGCTCCGAGGGTGGGTGGTAAGAAGGGGGAGCTCTGTGCCCCGGAGGATTGCTTTCCGCCACGTGCTCTGATGGGGTGCGCTCTGCTGCCTCCTACCCGCGGGTTTGGGCTGTGATTTGAAACTCAGAAGAGGGGCGGGAGAGGAGCCTGTCTGGCTCAGTCTGTGTGTGAAGCTGAGCTAGCTGGCTCTTAAAAGTCTGCGTTTACAGGAGTTGGCCTTTGCTGTGGGTTGCGATAAGACATTTATCAAAAACATGCTATTAAAAGGGTCTTATTTTGGCAGGGGACTGCTGCTGTAGGTGAAGTTCTCTTCAGATCTGCGGGCTGTGTCTGTTGTGGGATTTCACTTTTACAAAGAATGTTTGTCTTGTTTGTTAATCCCCTATTAGGGAGAACTTTAAGCTAAAGAGGTTGGCCACCTCTAAATCTGGCTGGGTCCAAGCTTAGGGTGAATACTGGCTGCCCTTGAACTGTGTGTGGAGTTTAGGAGGAAGGGGCCTGCAGGTGGTTCCACCCTCCCTAGGATCAGTCCGACCCCCTCGCTTTTCACAAGACCATAAAAGGAATCTTATTAGTGATGTGGAAAAAACGGCAGGCCTGGCTGAGGTTTATTTTGGAGAGAGGGGTCAGAGGGAGGATGGCTTGGATGAAAACAGACAGGCTTGCTCCACTGGCTAGCTGGGAAAAAGTGACCTAGAAGTGTGGCTGTCTGCTTTTGACACCTGGCAGAGGGTCCTTCACCGACACGGAGCTGAAGTGGTGTGAGTGGATAGCAGGTTGCCACCACTGACTTGCTAGTATTCTTCAGTGCCTTCAGGCCCCACGGGTCACCAACCGTGAAACAGACCCGGTTTTTCTAGAAAGAGGGAGACCCACTGGGTCAGCACTGAGAATGTGGTTCTTTTGAAGCTGGGCCAAGTGCATGCATCACTCGTAAACAAGCCTCCACCCTGCTGCCCCAAAAAAGGCCTCCTGTGAAATACAAGCTTTACTTCCCAGGAGAAACTGAAGTTTGGGTGTATTGTTTTAGTTTATTTCCCTCAGTGTGGTTAGAGAAACGCTGCTGTCTGTAGCTTCCAAGAGTGACTCCAGGGTGAGTGGTAGCTTCAGTGAAAGCCTTAAGCTTCACTAGTGTTAATGGATAGCACAGCTTCCTTCACTTGGGTAATTAACACTAGGAGCTTGTCATCAAACACTGGTCTCCAGGGCTGGGGGTGTAGCTCCCTGGCAAAGTATACGCCTAGTATTCCCCAAGACCCTGGGTTTGACTCCAAGCACCACAAATTAAAAACAAAAAATTTTTTTTGTTTCCCTTGGGTAGGTAGAATGTGGTGCGTAGATAATAGAATTTGAGAGACGTACATAGAGTTTAAAAAGCAAACAGAAACTCCAGGCTTCCTTGGCCTCTTAGCCACATAAGCTGCCAACCCCTAAGCAGGCACAGTTGTCATTTGGGCTAAGTCCTCCTAAATTGGCTTACAAGGGAAGGGAAATACTGTGGTTGGCAAAGCTAGTCCATTGAAGAAGGTCATGTAATTCCTGTCTTTTGTTTGGTGCTCTGGCCCCCGTTCATGGTCCATAGAGGAAGAAGAGGAATGATTTGGTCAGCTATGACACACAATCTACATTCCAGCATGTGAGGCGCTCTGAAGTGGGCCTCCCCGCTAGATCAGTATCACATTTGGTCATACCCATCTTGGGCTGCATCCCACTTGGTATCAACTGCTCTGGTATCAACTGCCAGTGGCTTCTGATTGTGTTGTCATCCGTGCTGCAAGGGAGCTCAACTTGCAGCAACTAGCTTGATTTATTCTCAATTTGGGGTACTAGGTGATAAGAACA